AGATAATGCTCAAGAATAGTGGTATCAGTGGTGGATGTCCAAGTTCTGCTATGGTACAGGAGAGGATGGTGAAGAATTTCTCGGAGTCCAGCAAAGAGCGCTATATATGGCTGCTATTCTGTGCTACAGTGTGAGCTTCTATAGTGTAGTGGTTGAACATGCTGTGTTGGACATTGAAATTGCAGGTTGCTGGTTCAATTTCCTGTGGTGGCATTTTTTTTGCCGCCGCTGCACCCACTAACAAATATTGTACACTTGACCTTGATCAAGAGCAGCTGTCCTTTGATTGACTTCCATGCATATCATCTTTATTCAATACATCTCACAGTGAACTTGGGCATGAACTTGAACAGGGACTTGGAGGACTTGGCCAAGTACCTGGTACTTGGCCAAGTTGACCCACCCGACTTGGCCAAGTCCATTGGACTTGGGGTACTTGAGGTACTTGGGATACTTGAGGTACTTGGTCAAGTACTCCAAGTACCTGTACAAGTACGTGACGTTTTCCTGATGTAGCTATGAGTGCTGCGCTCAGCAACTGATGGTGCCAAATTCTGCAGCTAAGAAACGAACCTCTACGACGCGTTCCATGTCAGAGACTGGACTAATCGGTCGAGGCGCATGCTGTTCGCGTTTAAGGCCTGTTAAGAGGCTATGACTGCATGAAAGCATCATCACGCCCTATCTCCGCTGGATCCCGGTGGGATGCTTGCTCTACGGGCTCCCTCTCAATGCCACTCTGAAGACGAGACAATTATTGTTAGTAGCGCAGTATATGACAGAGCAAAGAACGCACCTCGGGAGGGGCTACCGGAATCGGCTGAGGTTCTTTCGACTCCACCCCAGAGTCCGGGGGGTGGGGCGTTCCGTGATCGTCTGTTGTCTTTTGACCCGTCATTGATAGATGCGATTGAAGCTGATTTTCCGAGACTCGAAGAGCGAGGATTGAGGAAACGAAATATTGCCAGGAAAATAGGGACCGGAAAATGGTTGATTGTGGAAATCGGTAGTGATGATGGGCAACCGCGTGCTTCAGTCCAAGGGCTGCTGTTTATTGGGCTGGATGAGATTGCTGTGGGACACGGTGACAGGGAAGATAGCAGCCGTTGAAGCCATGAGGCCGGTGAGGTGGATTCTCCGAGGATCTTCATAGGCGCATAATCTCTATTTTCCCTGACGTGTGAAGGTGTAACCTTGGCCCGGAGTGCGTATTGCAAGACACGTTCGTCGCCCCTGAACAAAGCTCTGACAGGTGCTACGTGAACGTTGGGATAGAAGTCATTTAGAAATATTAGAAGCCAATGAACTGAACGAGACCATACAGGCGAGACGGGCCACCCATCATGCCATGAACGATTCCTACACATCAGAAAAACGTCACGGACTGTTGAACTTGGACTTATCCGGTCCATACTACACGAGGCTATGCGTCTCCTAGCGCTTAGCTGTGGTCGCTTATGTAGTATGTTACCATATTTGGGACTCTCTGCTCGTGTACTATAGCTATGCTTCCGGACTCTTCTGGCACTGTCTAGGACAATCCGTACTACTCCAGAACGGTCTAGACAGGTCTATGCCTTACTCATCTCTTACTCATCCTATGGTGCGATATGTCGCAATTCTTTCACCATCGTATTATTCATCGCACTATGGTACATGTGACTAACCACTCTTTGATTAGTCATGGACACTTCTCTGTAGTATATAAGGACTTCAGATTGCGTCCTCCCTCTTCAGTCTTTCCTTACTGACTGAAGAGTGAGTACTTCGTTACATCTATCTCTAACTTGTAGTTACTTACTTAACCTTTGTAGTCTTGCTTCGACTCTAGGTACAGTTGGTTGCTGCAATATAGTCTTTCCTTACTGACTGAAGATCTTGCTTCGACTCTAGTCGGATCTAATCTTTGTCTTCACAGCCCCGAGTTTATCAGGTTATGAGCCCTGCGCTCTGACCGAAGTTTCGTGTTGACGTTTATCACTGCGCGCACCCATCATCCTTCTCTGTCAACCTCGGTTCTGCCCGTGCATCCCCTCCACTTTCCTAAACTCTTGACTGTGCCCGCCGACACTGCTGCCACGGTGACTTTGCACAGTTGTGCCCGTGAGCGCTTTTAGTCTAATATCTAGTATCGTGTAGCACCCTATTGCGCTTTCGAGGCGTACGGGGTTTCAGGTATCCCTGTGCCAGGCCACGCACTTGTGCCCGCCAGCACTTGTACCGGGGTCGTTAGTGACCTTAGGACCGGAGGACAACCGTGTGGACCCTCCTTACGATAGCCTTTTTGCATACGTACCTAGCTAGCTTTTCTTGGGCACAGTTGGCGACTTCTACCCGGGTTGTAGGCATCTCCAGCTTGCTTGCTTCCTGGTTGCCTCAATCGGCGTTCATATCTCGTCGCTTTCGCACGTGGCTCTCCATCTTGCATCGCGTTTCCCTGTCTCCTGGCTGTTTTGGATCCGACAACAGCAGCGGAACCCTCTATCTCTTCGGACGAGGAGGTTGATCAAGCTATCAACTCCACATCCTCCGAAGAAGAAGAAACACCTATCGATTGTCGGGGACTACCTCATATCTTCGAGCTAGAGGAAGAAAGAGACTATCATAGCGAAGAAGACGGGTGGTACCCTTGCGACG